GCCAGACTGAATCAGCTTACAAGTACCTGGCTGACAAATTCCCTTGACTCAGCAAAGCAAAAATTACATTGGGAGATTTTGTGGGTCCTCAGATCCCCAAGCTGTGTGTTTATTTTCACAAGCCAAGAGGGAACAGCTATGAGCAAAGGAGGGTTTTTGTCTAGCTTGGCAATCACTGTGTCGTTTGCACAGTAATACACAGCCATGTCCTCGGGTTTAAGATTATTCATTTGCAGAAAGAGGAGGCTGTTGGAATTATCTCTGGAGATGGTGAATCATCCCCTCACTTTATCTGAGTAGTGAATGTCAGTAGAACATTCATATGCCACCCATTCCATGCGTTTTCCTGGCACATGTCTCATCCAGGTCATGCCATGGCTGCTGAAGGTGAACCCGGAGGCTCTACAGGAGAGTCAAAGGGACTCTCCAAGCCTTTTGATGTCTCCTCCAGTCTCTATCAGATGGATGTCTGAATGCACAACTAGCAAGAAAGAGATTTTAATGAGACCTGTTGTTGTTGTTTAGTCATTTAGTCGTGTCTGACTCTTTGTGACCCCATGGACCAAAGCACGCCAGGCGTTTCTGTCTTCCACTGCCTCCCACAGTTTGGTCAAACTCATGCTGGTAGCTTCGAGAACACTATCCAACCATCTCATCCTCTGTCGTCCCCTTCTCCTTGTGCCCTCCATCTTTCCCAACATCAGGGTCTTTTCCAGGGAGTCTTCTCTTCTCATGAGGTGGCCAAAGTATTGGAGCCTCAGCTTCAGGATCTGTCCTTCCAGTGAGCACTCAGGGCTGATTTCCTTGAGAATGGATAGGTTTGTTCTTCTTGCAGTCCATGGGACTCTCAAGAGTCTCCTCCAGCACCATAATTCAAAAGCATCAATTCTTCGGCGATCAGCCTTCTTTATGGTCCAGCTCTCACTTCCATACATCACTACTGGGAAAACCATAGCTTTTACTATACGGACCTTTGTTGGCAAGGTGATGTCTCTACTTTTTAAGATGCTGTCTAGGTTTGTCATTGCAATGAGACCTACTGTGTACCATTAACTGTCAGAGCATCACAGCCTTCTTTATTGGAAAGGATGGATTTACCTCTTAAAGAGCTGAAAAGAAAACAAGTTGAAGTAAAACAATAATTTTCCCCATCTAAAGTTTGGAAAGGTTGAGCAAAATGTGGATTGCAAAATTCAGGGTGCTGTAGCTGAGGTAGTTAGAGCGCCAGAGTGATCAAAAGAGGAAATGAACTCTGAAAAATCGCATATTTATCAAGGTAAAAGCACCACTACAGTTGCTGGGCAAACTATGATTCTAAAGGGAAGACTGGTCTATGTAATGAGCTTCTTATTTCCTTATTGCACCCTCTCTGATATTATTAAAACATATTCAGGATACAATAAGATAAAAGGATCTAATGTAAGAGAAAGAAATAACTAAAGTAAAGAAAGAAAGAAAGAAAGAAAGAAAGAAAGAAAGAAAGAAAGTCCCTATTCCACCCTGCCAGTGCTGCTGCCTCCAAGTTCAGAGAGGAGGATGAGCCAGTCCTTCTCTTCAGTGGCGGCAGCTGTGGCAGCTGCAATGGAGCATCCTATTGCCTTTCCATGGCATCTCCATGGCTGCCGCCTCTAGCCTCCTCTCTTGGGGAGCTCATAGCAGTTGCTGGAGAGAAGGAGGAGATATAGTGGCCACTGAGGCTCAGCTCTGTGTGACACAGTGACTCTGAGGGATAGGTAGAGAGCAGGGCTGCCCTGGAAAGGAAGAAAGAGGGAGTGAAGTGGAACACAGAGTCTTTATTTTCCTTTTTAAAAACATGCCTTTTGTTTTTGCCTCTAATCTTGACCCTTTCTTAAATTTATTTATTGGCATGTGCTTTTCTTTTTGTAAATCTACCAAGGAATTAAATCAGGATTAAGGGGGTTTCCCGGAGTGGTGGAGGGTGTGTGCTGTTTATTGTTGGGGTATAAAAAATGCTCGGGGTGAGTGGACGCAAAAAATGGAGAGTCAAGTTGACGGGGAGTGAGAAATGTCCCTATTTTCATTTGAGGAATGTTGGAGGGTATGGCTCTAGCAATCAGGTTGCTCCTTTGGGACGTGACATATTCCTGGGGATGCACTGATACAAGGTCCTTGCTGCTTGCCTCTCTTCCAGATCCACATGTGCAAGGAATTCAGCCCCACTCAAGCATTCAAAGCAATTGGGGGTGGGGGTTAAAGTATGTAGAGGGAGTACGGATGTCTATGCAGCCCACCCCCATGCCCTTGGTCTCCACCACCCTCGTGCTTTGGAAAGAGGAATTTAAGCAGGTTTGGCTGAACATGTTTATAGCCCTTCCTGTGATCAGGAATGCTACATTGCGTGTCGAGGTCCCCAAGCCACCCCCCAAATAACTCACAACGCACACTTAATTTTTGTTTAAGGTTTTTGGCATAATTTTGGCCACAACTTTATTTAAATACAAAACCGTGAGTGGTTGTTTAGGCATTGGTTAAGACTATCTGTCCCCCCCGCCTGGGGACAGAACTGACTTCCGGGCACCACTGAAAGACAGTGCGGGGGAAAGCAAGTCGGAGAGAAATGGAGCTGGGTCACAGACCCTCAATTCTCATCCGCATGCTCCCCGAAGGCTTGCCGGCCCTAGTCCCATTCCAGGGATTGGACGAAAAGATGGCAAGCCCCAGGATTCCTTTAACGGAATTCCCTTTCCGCAGCAACCATGGAGGGGCAGGCCCAGCCTATCCTAACCCCTCCTCCACCAATTTATAACCAATGCCTAACCACAACCTTACAAGTTGTGACGATTTGCTACGCAGTAGGCAAAAACCAAATGGCCCAGCCAATCAGCCAGATGGACAAAATTCCTACCAGGCCCCTGCCCCAACGGCAGACGACCCCATGACAGGCATAGCAAGGTCAATGCAACAACCCCTTACTCAAGGGCGGGTGGGCGGGTGATCCGTTGCACGCAGCAAAGAGAAAGCTCCAGGCTGCGTGCAGAGTATTTAAACATTTTACCCTCCCACCAAAATTGCAACATAACTTTTACCCCAGCAACCCAGTGAACCAATCACTGCCCCAGGCCATCTTTAGAGACCCTGCCTGGTAACAGAGGGGTGGCTCAGCAGACCCCACCGCAACACGTGCTCTCCATGAAGGAGAACACGCTTTGCGTGTCGAGGTCCCCAAGCCACCCCCCAAATAACTCACAACGCACACTTAATTTTTGTTTAAGGTTTTTGGCATAATTTTGGCCACAACTTTATTTAAATACAAAACCGTGAGTGGTTGTTTAGGCATTGGTTAAGACTATCTGTCCCCCGCCTGGGGACAGAACTGACTTCCGGGCACCACTGAAAGACAGTGCGGGGAAAGCAAGTCGGAGAGAAATGGAGCTGGGTCACAGACCCTCAATTCTCATCCGCATGCTCCCGAAGGCTTGCCGGCCCTAGTCCCATTCCAGGGATTGGACGAAAAGATGGCAAGCCCCAGGATTCCTTTAACGGAATTCCCTTTCCGCAGCAACCATGGAGGGGCAGGCCCAGCCTATCCTAACCCCTCCTCCACCAATTTATAACCAATGCCTAACCGCCAATCGAGCCCTTTACGCTCGCCGCCAACCACTCACAATCCCAACCCAACCTTCAACCTTGCAGTTACCGCATCCAACCAAACATCATTCCCCAGTACAGAGAGATGTACTCCATCATTGCGGTAAAGGGCCAGAGCCTTGAAGGTAATATCCGGGCGGGAAATAACCAATCCACCCAAATCCGCCACCTTCTTACACACTGCAGAATTAATGCGCTTCCTGGCCCTTTCAGCAGCCTCAGGTCGAGAAATGCCGTGCCAATTGCGCCTTTGCAGCAATTGTGACCAAAATATTTTAACTGTGGGTATTAAGGTCACCAATTCACCCAAGTCTCTCTGAATCGTGGAGCGCAAAGTAAAGCAATCATAAGTTGCCACATCGTTCCCCCCCAGCTGAACCACAATTGCCATGGGGGGGGGGCCATCCGAAAGCACCCTCTGCTTAATTAGCGGGATGAATTCGCTCCACTGCATTCTGCGCCTGGACATCCACAACACCTGCACATGCTGCGGGAGGCCAAGACCCAGTCCCCTTCCAGACTGCCTAGCTCTGATGCCAGCCCAGTAAACGATGCTGTGCCCCACAATCCAGATGCGGACTGGAGCTAGAAACATGGGCAGGAAGGCCGAGATGGCGCCCCCAGTCCAGACTCGTCAGGGTGCTTGCCAGCTCAGTGCATGATGCTGTGGCCGACAATCCAAATGCGCACAGCTGCTCCTATGAAAAAGGAATAACAGACAGGCATCAGCACAGGCATCATTGGCGATGCTTCCTGACATAACCTTTGTCAGCGTCAGACTTCCAATGACCCGTATTCACAATCCTGTCTACTAACAGGCCCCAATGCGCAGCCTTTGCAGCAGCACCTATTTGGAAGGAATGAGGCGTGTTCAGCGGTAGGCAAGCCGCAGGCTGCAATAACTGGCGCATGACGTGAGCAATTAGATGCCTGTCGAACCAGAACCCATTTCTGTGCACTAGGATCGAGCCCCAGGGGAACGAAAAGCCAAATATTTCCGGTATCCAATAACAGGGCAAGGGCCCACCTCACCTGTGACTGGAAGCCTGATGGTGGCAACCCTGCTCACTAGGTCTGACTTAGAGCTCCAGACACTTATGACAAGCTCCAAAGCAGATAAGGAAAAGTCCTGAGGCAATAAGCCTCCAAACTCTCAGCCCCGTGCTGGCTCCAACACAATTTCCCCAACCCTCAGTACACCAAAATTACAATGGAATACTGAAATAAGTCTCGTCTTGATCTTGAACCAGCCAACATGTCTCAACTTGTTGCAGATACTGCATAGGTCAAAGATTGACCGGCTTCCTGCCCGCTGTCCTGTGAAGGTCAGAGCCTATTCCAACCTTCCGAGACCCTGCGCATGACACACTTTTAGAAGGGTCTCTGAAAATTAAAGCTTTACTCTAGCAGACATTGCAGCGGACTGAATTCTGATAGTTTTAACACTGCATCCTATCTGCAGCAGGTGGGCGAATTACTGCAGGTCCTGCTCAGAGGATGGGGGCAGGTTCCTCTGAATGGCCGAGGACTACCAGCTAAATTTTAAGAAATCAGTCCAGGCCTTCTCATAAGACCTGAAAGCGGATGGGGAAACGTAAGCTACTATTCCTCATAATTATTAATTGTTGCCAAGTGCCACAGGAGCTCCAGAAAAATAGCTGGGTGTCCAGAGCCCAGGATCTGAAGCTCTCCAACTGAAAAATAGAGCCACAGCAAAAACATTAGATGATCCCGAAATAAAGTGAGCAGAAACGCAATATTAAACCTTAAGCAGTGCGAAGACTCTGCCAGAGCATGAAGACCGTTTTGCCAGGACTCTCACACTGCCTGGTTATCAGACCAAGACAGACCTGACGGTCCCTAAACTCCTCAGTCCAGATGTGCGCTGACACTACAATGAGGAAAACTCAAGAAAAGTTAGGTTACATGTGATTGCCTTGCCCTGCCAGGCTCAAGGCCACTGTACATGATGATGAAGGGACACCGGGCCATGAGACCACCTGGCCAAGCAGGAATGGAAGGGGCAGCCTGGAGCAACCACCCTGCATGCAAAATTTAACTGACCTAGGAATGATAGGATCTGACAAAGCAACACTTGCTTCAGAGGAAGTATTACAAGAATAACATCCTTCAAGGCAAACAGCTTTTCCACAGGCAAGCAGATGTTTGAGCAACGGTATCCAGCTAGCCCCCAAATACATTAAAAGGGGCAGTAGGAGCCACTGTCCTCCACTGCCAACAGAACACCCAGCTCCTCAGGGAATAAAGGGGCATCTAGTAAGCTAAGCAGAGGCTGGTGTCACATGAACCAGCCAGTAAAATAATCCACATAACGATACCCCCAGTTAAACGAGTCTTGACTCGCAATGTTCAATCCAGAAAGGCGCTAAAGGACTCAAGTGCTGCACAGCCTATTGAGCAACCAACTGGCATCGCCTTATCCATATAAGGACCATCCAATTAAAGCCTAACTACTTAAAATCTTGAGGGTGAACCGGCAGCAGCCTAACAGCCGATTCAATATCGCATAATGCCAACAAGGCACCTCCTCCAATTTGTTGGTAAGCTCAACTGCCTGATCCAAAGATGCATATTTCACGGAACAATTCCGGAGGGATAGCATCATTCACTGAGGTGCCTTTGGGGTGCGATAAATATGGATCAGATGGAATTATATGGGGCTTTCTTAGGGACGATCCCCAATGGGGATAAATGAAAATCGGGACTAGAAGGAGAATCAAGGGGATCCCACCATACGTCCCAATGCAAGCTGCTTCCTAACCTTCTTTCTGGCTACCACAGACTTTCTGGCTACCACAGACTCTAACTGACTTTTGAGTTGCTGTATTCTGAGCCACTGGCTGAAAAGCCAGAGGAATCCCGAAACCTTGGGAAAAACCCTTCCCACAAGCACAAAGCTACTGACGCATCTAGATAACCTTTTAGCCAGGCTTTAAAGGGAGATATTTTTATGGAAATATGGGCGAGAGGTATTGAGTTATTGCTTGCCAGCCCCCCGCTTGGGCAAGAAGCCCTGCCTTGTGTTGCCACCATGATGTGTAAATTTACAGGGCCAACACTGGCCAGAGACCCTAAAGAAGTCCCAACAAAGCTGCCACCGGGCCAGCTTCCTGCATACCAGCTTCAGGTTCTATTGCTCAGGGAATTTCCATTTGAAATGTGGAGCTGCGCAAGTGGTCCACATGTCCCCGTCCCTGCGATCCTAGCGAGCTAAGGGGATGATGGCAGCCCTGCGTCTAACATTCCCATCATAGTGAATTACCACTTATAGAATAGTGGGGTTGGAAGGGACTCCTAGGATCATCTAGTCCACTCTCCCACAATATCATCATCATCATCATCATCATCATCATCATCATCATCATCTATTTGTACCCCGCCCATCTGGCTGGGCTTCCCCAGCCACTCTGGGCAGCTTCCAACAAAATATTAAAATACAGTAATGCATCAAACATTAAAAGCTTCCCTAAACAGGGCTGCCTTAGATGTCTTCTAAAAGTCTGGTAGTAGACATCTGGTGGGAGGGTGTACCACAGGGCAGGTGCCACTTCCGAGAAAGCCCTCCACCTGGTTCCCTGTAACTTGGCTTCTCACAGTCAGGGAACCACCAGAAAGGCCCTCGGCGCTGGACCTCAGTGTCCGGGTAAAGTGATGAGGGAGCATGCAGCTGTCCCATACAGGGACCAATCCTGCAACCTAGGCATTACCGGCACCATACGCTGACCAGCTGAGCTATCCAGGATGCTCCCTAAAGACCTGGAACAGCCTCACCCTGACCCCTGGAGAGGTCCAAGGTGATGTCTGAATCATCATCAGAGCCCAGTGATGATTTACCTGCAAGGAGGTGTAAGCATCATCCCTGCTATGCTTTTTCCTGCCTCTGAAGACGCTTCCTTCCTGAAGAAGGCACCTGGGGCATCAACAAGTCATCCTCTGCAGGAGAGGCAAGCTCTGGAGGCATCTGCAAAGGCCCTGTCATAGTCTGCGAAAAGAAAAAACCTAAACAATGTGAGGAACAGGTGAAACCAATGCTTTGTGCACCACATGGGGACGCTATTCAGGCCAGAAACGCTGCCAGAGGCCATCAAATTCTAGGGCCAAGCGGGCCAAGCCCTAGGATCACCTGCTAGGCCAGACATAAATGTTTCCAATGAGATAACAAACTCGAGGCAGCCCACCGCATGTCCAGGTACCCCTGCTTGCCCTTTAGAGGGAAGCACCTCCTCAAGAAACCCAAAGTTCTTTTTGGGAGCAATATCACAAATGGGCCAAACTACCCAGCAACAAAATAGTCCAAAAGGAGCAGCTTGTTTTGCCTTGTTATAACAATGGCTAAGTGAGGGATATGAACCCTGTCTCCCAGGTCCTAGTCCTGTACTCTAGCCACTAAGCCACAATGGCTTGTCTCTAAAATGGCAGTCGCCACTATCAGGGAAAAACAAACTTGAAGAAAATAAACTTGTTCAGAAACAGCATAGTTAAAGAGCATACAAAGAGTGCTCATTGGAGGCACAGAGAGCCTCTGGCTCCACTCTGTCTGCCTAAGCTATACATTAGCAACAAGTGAGCCTGCAAACAACAGATACATTCTTATAGAGAGAATGAGTCACATGTTACAGAAACTTAACAATTCACTGTACTGCTAACTGTAGCAGGCTTAGGCTTGAATGATATGTGCAGGCCGTGCAGGCCGTGATGGCCTCCCTGCTTCTGCTCTCTGCCTTTTTTGTCTCATTGCAATATTAAAGGAACTCAAAATAGTGCTCCCGCCCAAGGCTAAATTAAAACTCAGCCAACAGCACTGCAATCACCCAAAATAAAGCCAACCTATGAGGATACTATAAACGAAAGTGATTCCAGGTAAGCTGGGAATTTACTGTACTGCTAACTGTAGCAGGCTTAGGCTTGAATGATATGTGCAGGCCGTGCAGGCCTCCCTGCTTCTGCTCTCTGCCTTTTTTGTCTCATTGCAATATTAAAGGAACTCAAAACAGTGCTCCCGCCCAAGGCTAGATTAAAATTTGGCCAACAGCACTGCACGCACCCAAAATAAAGCCAACCTATGGGGATACTATAAATGAAAGTGATTCCAGGTAAGCTGGGAGCAGCCCTGGCTAGCCCCACAATTAAACAGGCGAAAATGGGGAAAGCCTTTTTGCAAAAGAAAGCCCCTAATGGGGGCTCTCTCCCTATTGGGAAAGGCAAGCCCAGGAGGATTATGCACAGGCAGCGCCCACAGGAACAGGGAGAATCTTCCCAAAGGGCAGGGTAAGGGGTGGGGTGGGAAATCAAACAGAAAAAAGGGGGAATTAAATTAATTAAGGGACTAGAGAAGATTAAAAAGAAGGGGAAAATAAAGAAATGTAACCAGACAATGAGAAGATCGCTCCACTGTCCTCCAGACGGTCCAAGTGCTCCAGGTGATCCGTTGCACGCAGCAAAGAGAAAGCTCCAGGCTGCGTGCAGAGTATTTAAACATTTTACCCCTCCCACCAAAATTGCAACATAACTTTTACCCCAGCAACCCAGTGAACCAATCACTGCCCCAGGCCATCTTTAGAGACCCTGCCTGGTAACAGAGGGGTGGCTCAGCAGACCCCACCGCAACACGTGCTCTCCATGAAGGAGAACACGCTATATCAGCCAAATGCAGTTATACACCTACTTCAGATCTTCCTACTCCATATGGAAAGATAGCAGAACAGGGGGAAGGGCTGGAGCATCTTCCATCCTCATTGCTTGGCTAGTGTTTCAGAACACCTGAAGAGGGTCACTGTGTCTCTCACAACTGGTCCACGATACTCCAAGAGCACAGTTCAAATCCAAAGATAAGCAATGGGACCAGTTTCCGATTAAGGCTTTTGCTTGAACTAACCACTTCATTTGCTGCAACCAGGAACATTTTTTATAATAAGTTTGCAAAGGAAAGTTTTTGTCTGAGGTTAGAATTACTTCCTCTCATTGTGCGCCTTGCACAGTAATAAACAGCAGTGTCCTCCGGTTTCAAGTTGTTCATTTGCAAAGACAGCTGGCTGCTTGAATCATCCCGGGAAATGGTGAATCTTCCTTTGACAGAATCCAAGTAGTAAATGTGAGTTGAAGATGTATGTATAAAGGCCACCCATTCCAGGCCCTTTCCAGGAGCTTGTCTCACCCAGTTCATTGCATAGCCTCCGAAGTTGAACCCAGAGGCTTGGCAGGAGAGGCGGAGGGAATCTCCAGGCCTTTTGATGCCCCCTCCTGATTCTTTGAGCTGGATTTGTGACTGGACACCTGAAAGAAAGACCTACAATTAAACTCTGGGTTCATTATCCACTATAATATAACAGTTCTCCTATATGAAAGCAGAATAAATACCTTTGAATATTACTAAAAGGAAAACACATGGAAACCAAGGTGTCATTTTTCCTTCTTTTACTAGGAGAGCGGTTAAGAAGAAAGTAGCAACCCAGGCAGGACACACAATGGTTGTTTGAGTGGGTATCACAGGGGCAGGGAACGTATATGGCAGGTTCAAACAGGAAGCTGCCTATGAATTTGCATACCTGTTGGAATAAAAGAGCAGCACAGGCCTTCCGCAACCCAATTTCAATAGTCATATGTGTGACTTTGGGCTATCAGAGAATTGCTGCTGATTTGCTTGGTGAGGAACAGAGTGGGGAAACCACCTTACAGTAGAACTATTGTTCAGTATTGTCAGTGCTTTTCTTCTTCTTCTAAAAATAATGTTCAGGGGTACTCGCATTTTCCTACTGATATTGAAATACTGCCCCTCAATGAGGCCAAACTTAGATTCACAAAATGTTTAGGGGTATGCATCCCCCCCAGAAAAAAGCACTGTGTATTGTTAATATAATAATAATACCTTTATTGTCAATGTGCAACCTGTATACAATGAAATTAACCAAGCCTAACTGAGCTTCCCTCTCCCCCCCACCCAAACACTCAATCTCATTGCACTCTGTGTGCTTATCGCACAACACACCACCTCACAAGTCAGTTGCACTATATTATTTTCCGTTCAACAGCCTAACAGTCCATGGATAGAAGCTATTTTTTAGCCTGTTGGTACAACTGATTATACTTCTTTATCTCCTGCCCGAGGGTAGAAGATTAAAGAGGTGCTAGCCGCGGTGTGAGTCATTCCTGAGAATTTTTTTTTGTTCTTCTAAGGCAATGATCCCTTGCAATGTCATTTAGCGGACTCAAGGGACAGCCCATGATATCATGTGCTGTATTCACCACCGTTTGTAGAGACTTTCTGTCCATGGCTGTCAGGCCAGCATACCACACTGTGATACAATATGAAAGTTAATATAATAGTTATATAATAGTTATTGCATAATATCTTACTTGGTTATGTCTGCTTTGTGGGTTCTGATTCATGGTTCTCTGCTGCCCCCTCTGGGATCTCTTTACTAAAGGGAATGCAGAAAACAGGATTTTCCCTCCCTGAGGTCTGCTGGGATCTCTCATACTGTTGCCTCTTCCACACTTCCACTTGTTTCACCACTTTCCCCCAGGAAAACCTGCTGTTTACTGTTGAATAGGAGCAAACTTCAATGGGTTTTTTTTCTATAGAATGATATTTGTGGTAAAGAATGGACTTTCTTTGGGAAAGCGGTGTGGCAAACCAGAATTGCACCCCTTAGTCCTATGCCTAGAAAGCATGGGACATGCAGAAAACCTCTTAGACCCATCCTTTCTAAGTGCTGGACAAACAGAAGTGTGGACAAGCCCCGTGTCTCTCACACAGTAGTACAAGGCCATGTCTTCTGCTCTCAGACTGTTCATCTGCAGATGGAAGTTGGATTCACCTTTAGAGGCCCATAATTGCCATTGCATTGCAGAAGAATAAAAACTGTACCCAAGAGGTGGGATCATAATACCAAATGAGCCATTCCTTTGCCAGGTTATTGCCAGCATTTGCTCGGAAGGAGCTTCTGAGGTTTTTGTACAAGCAGAAAAGCAGAAGTTGTCAGTGTGTTTCTTGCACAGCAATACAGGGCAGAGTCCTCAGGCTTCAAGCTGCTCATTTGCAAATAGGCTGAGGTTTGAGAATTGTCTCTGGAGATGGTGAATCGTCCTTGAACTTTGGAATTATAGAGTTGTTTGCTTCCTGAAGGTTGGCTAACTAAAGCCACCCACTCCAGTCCTTTCCCGGGAGCCTGGCGAATCCAGTGGATTGCATAACTAGTAAAAGTGAATCCTGAAGCCTTGCAGGAGAGGCGGAGGGAGCCTCCAGGAGCTACAGCACCTCCTCCAGTCTCCACCAACTGAACCTCTGAGTGACAGCCTAAAAAATGGAAGAAAGATAATCAGGGGATACCTGTGTAGAAAAGTTTGCAAGTTTCCAGTGAGAAAAATATTACCTGGGAGAGCTGTCAAGAAGAGAAGGAGGTTTAACCAAATAAACATGTTTGTTTGGATCAGCTTCTTGACTGGCTCAGTCTTAACTGACTTAATTGGAAAGGGCAGCTTTTAAGGCAGTGAAGTGGTTCAACTGATTTGCATGTGCTTCATATCATAACCTCCTTTTCTCTGAACTCTTAATTCACAATTCTTCCCCAGCTAAATGGCCATAGAGAAGAAGAGGAGCAATTTGCCTTTGTTGGCAATGATTTTGGGGGTGAGCCTGCCTTATTGGGTGAATCTCACCTGGCAGCAAGTGGAGGTGTGTAGTTTTCAGATGAGAAAGAGTAACCTTTCATCGATGTTCATTATGGACAGTTTGTTCCAGAGCTTCTCCCTCAGGGTTTAGTCAAAGGCTCCTTTTAGGTCCAGAAACACTGCCCAAAGTTTTTGATTAAGAACACTAGAGTATTTATTGACTAGGTGGGAAAGTATGACCCAATGACCCAAGGAGGTTTTGCCCTGGCAAAAGCACACCTGCTCAGGGACTGGTAATCCAGATTGGGACATCCACAGGGCAAGCTTTCCCACAATTTGTTTAGCATATAGCTTCCCCACTATGGAGAGGAGGCTTATTGGTCTGTATTTGGATGGTAATGTGCACTCTCCCTTTTTGTATATTGGAACGATGATTGCACTTGTCCATGCCTCTGGCATTAGTCCAGACATATCTACCTTTATGAATAGATTGGCCAACAAGAGAGCCCACCAATCAGGGTCTAGTTTAACAACATTGGGACCTATGCCATCTGGGCCAGCAGCTTTCACTTACTTTAACTGGCCTATTAACATTTTTATTTCATCTCATGAAACTGGAAGCCACTCAGTGGCATTGATTTATATAGAATGATGACAAGCTGTCCCACTGGAAAGATCTTCATGCAAGGCACTTGAAAAGTAAAGGCACCAACCACTAGGCGAAATAGGTGGAGAGGAGAGGTCATTGGTGTTAAGTGCCCCAGAAATTAAGGATCAGATTTTATATATAAGATATAAATGATATAAATGATATATAAGATATAAATGAGCTCTTCTGCATATTATTAGCCATCAGGCTGCCCAATTCTTTCTTTCTTTCTTTTTTTTTTAAAGATGGATTTACCTCTAAAAACAGCTGAAAAGAAAACAAGCTGAAGCAAAGCTATCATTTTTGCCACTAATGCCTGGAGAGGGTTGAACAAATTGTGGTATTCAGGGTCCTGTGGCTGAGGAAGGGAGGGTGTCTGACGAATTTAAAGAGGAAGCAATCTCTGATAATTTGCATACATAGTAAGGTAAAAGTACCACTACAGCTGTTGGGCAAACTATGGCTCTGAAGGGAAGCATAATGTATACAACAAGCTATTATTTTCCAATGTATAGTTTAGCAGTTGTTCCCAGAGTAGGTTTGTATATCCCTCTCAGGATCAAAGAGCAACATGGGCCTGGGCAAATTAGTTAGCCATCTTCCTTTCTTTTTTTGGTCTTTCCAAAAGATGGGAAAATAAATTCGTCTGTAATGTGTGAAATGGCAAATATCAATGCCATTTTTACACAAACCAGGTTCTCTGTTAACTTATGTGTATGCAGAAGAACCCTATTCTGTGCAGAGATGCAGGAGAAATTTATTTTGTCCACTTTTTAGAATAATTCAACCAAGCAGAATCTCTGGGACCTGCTTGTGGATCAGAAGGCAACTCCCTATTGCTTGTCCACACTTCCACTTGTCCTATGCCTTGAATTCATGGGTCAGAATGGCTTGCCTGGCTTTCTAGGCAGGAGTCTCAGCGGTTTTGCCATTGTCCCACTACTTTCCTATGGGAAACCTGCTCTTTAGCACTAAATTAGAACAAGCAGCAATCTGCTGGGGGGAAAAAATGTCGTTTCTTTCACTTCAGCACTAATCCATGGATTTTCCTGGGGGGAAACAATGGGGGAAATAGATGTTTGGATGAGCTTCCAGTCAGATAACAAACTTCTCCAGATCTTGTTCTGCAGTCTACCATTCAAATCAGTCTCAAAAATGCACTAAAAGAAATGCATATGAAACAGGTATGTTGTGAAGAAATCTATTGAAAAACATTGAAATGCACTGGAGAAGATGGTGATACGTTGAATACAACATCCATACAGTTTAAATGTGTACTTTTTGTGCATTTATTCACAAATTATGGATTAAAAAAGAGAGCACAACTGAGCAAAACAAAAACAGTAATAGGAAAGAATTAACCACTCCTTTCATCCCTGGGCAGAGATAACAACAAGAAATACTGCATGTGGCTTCTTCACACATGGAAGATAAATAAATAAAAAAATAAATCATGTGCTCCAGATCCAATTTTTAAATCCTGAATTTATACCATTTTTATTTATTGCCATCAAACTATTAGCCACATCAGGTTTGTACTAGTTACATTTCCCCCAGCAATGAATTGCGATTTTTGGGTTGAAGATATAAAGAGAACTGTGAGAAAGTGCCTTCAGGAGTCAAAGAGCTTTAAAGTTACATGTCTTCTTCCTCCTCCTCCTCCTCCTCCTCCTCCTCCTCCTCCTCTTCTTCTCCTTCTTCTTTGTCCTGGCGTTTCCGCCCAAAGCACAATAAACAGCAGTTCAGACATCGACCTTTAAAGCACAGACCTGTGCCTGGAAAGTACAGAGAAAGCTTAAGTGTGGAGAAGTGCAAAGTCTCAAGGGGCCCATGTGATGATGGTCTGCAAGGAAACATCTGAGGAAATTGTCAGTTTTACAGATGAAGCCACTAACGGTACTTGCAACACCATTTCAGACATGGGCTGATGACATTGGGTGTTTTTTACACCCCACTTGCCCTCTTGTGGGAAACAGGAGGGAGAAGAAGAGAGTTCTGCAGCCTGGTTTTATGAGAATATGCTTATCACATGAAATTAAATTTAGTAGAGGTTTATGAATTTCCCTTTCATTGAGTTTGGGGAGAGTGGGCAGCACCAGGCATGTAGCTATGCACCTGAAACAATTGTTGAGCACTAATCCTTGATTTCTTTATGATTTGATTCAACTTTGACCCTATTCCCTCTTTCAAATGCTTGTTGTCGAAGCACAGTGATACAGTGCAATGAAGCTGCTGACCTGTGGTGGAGAAGAGACAAGGTCTTTTCAGGACATTGCTTTGCTTGGGGGTAAGAACAAAGAACCAGGGGCCCGCAGATCTTCTTGGACCCCTGTCCAACCTGGGCCATGGTCTTGTTTTTTCTGCTCTGAGATTTTCTTGTTTGTGGTGCTTTAGTGCCCCCTCTGGAAACTCTACTAAAGGAATGCAATGAAGGGTTTTTGTCTAAGGTCTAATGGGAAGCCTCTCACTGTGTCTCTTGCACAGTAATACACAGCTGTATCCTCAGGTTTAAGGTTGTTCATTTGCAGATAGAAGTTTGATCCACTCTTCGAGGCTGTAAATCGCCCTTGGATTTCAGAGGAATAATAACTGTACCCAGAACGGGTATCATAATAGTGAACAAGCCATTCCAGTCCTTTGCCAGGTTTCTGTCTGATCCAGCCCATCCAGTTGCTGTTAATATCAAATCCAGCAGTGGCACAGCTCAGTTTTTGGGATTCCCCAGGTTTTTTCAAGACTGGATCTGATGTCTGGGTCAGAACCACCTGTGAGACCACACCTGGTAGGGAAGGAAAAAAGGAGAAACCATCAGCCAAATATTATCTTAGAAATCCAAAATTAAGTGATGAACTAGAATGCAAGACCTAACACACTTGAAGAGGAGGCAGCCAGTGCCAGGAGCATCATCAAGAAAGAAGGCATAGTGGTGGGATGGGTCTGAATGGAACTCTGAGTGCAGTGCCAGGAAGTCTGTGTGAGGTGAGAGACTTCCGGCTTTAAGTAGGAAGAGAAAACAAACTCGGCTTTGCATAAATCTGCCAGTGTAAGAGGGGACAGTATTAATACAGGATGAAAAACCTTCAGACAAGTGGAATCTTGGGTAGAAGGTTGGTTGGAAAGGGAATGAACTGCCAATTGCTCACTGATCCAAGTCTTATGGGCCAATTTCTTCTGTAGGTTTTCTTTTTCTCTCAGGGAAAGTGAGAGATGTGGGTAACATATCTCATTTGAGTTTGTGTGTTATGAGGTGAAATAAAGGACTTTTCTACACAATACCATGTCAAAGTGTCCCAAGGAAGCTTAAACTGAGTTGCCCACTCCTGCATCACACTGTGCCAAGTCTGCGTTAGTCACTGAAACAGTTTTGGCATGTGAGGTTGTGTCATGACTTAGGCAGGGCAGCAGCAAGGGCATGAAAAGCCCTGGTTGCAAAGAGGCTTCTAGGCTGACCCACCCATGAGGCAAGGTGAAGAAAGTGCCTCAGGTGGCAGGATCCACAGAGCCAGAATTGTTCACAGTGGTTCACAGCCACAGGGGTGGTTGACTGTCATCTCCTGGGTGACACAGACACTGTTAGGTAGTTAATGTATAAGTGCACTCCATTTCCCTCCCTCCCTCCCACCCACCCCTCCACGTAGCCCCTGGAGCATAGCTGTCAACATTTCCCTTTTTTAAAAGGGAATTTCCCTTATTCCGAATAGGATTCCTTGCAAGAAAAGGAAAAAGTTGACAGCTATGCCCTGGAGCTGGGAACCCATGCTACACCTCTGAATTTTTGCAAAACATCCTTATCCTGCAGAATTTAAGCCAAGTGACAGAAGCTTCCAGTGTGTGTGTGAGCCCCATGCTTTACCCCTGCATTGTGAGGATTGTGAAGATTCCTAAACAGGTCTTGGTTGGTTATTGAGTAAAGCTTAGTTTAAAATCACCCTACGGGACTGCGTCATACTCAGAGTAGACCCATTGAAAGTGCATACTACATTCTGACCAAACTCATCCCCCTATGTATATTTTTCTCTAGAAGGCTTAGTTTGGTCACTATACACTTCCAGAGATAATGCTAAATACATTATTTCTGGTAAATGAGCCACCATAGCCGCTACAGGGCCATGAAAAATTATGTCCTGAGCTTTTTAGACGTGTCTGCCCATGTACTATATGAAACCAAAGGGACACCTTGGTTTCCAGCTGTGAAATATATTGGCATTATTTTCAGCTCTCCTACCCCACCAGAATACAAACAGAAGAAAAAATGACACCCTCCTCCTAGAGAATGCTTCATAACTTTTAAAGTATTTAATTGAATTGTCCTTTCTCTTTGTGTTTGCAAGCTTAGTGATTGATTTATTGTAATTGAACGCAGCTAGATTTCCGCAGGGAGAATTGTTTTTCCTTTTTTTTTTACAGAGCTTGTCTCATTTTAGTCGTCTCTGTGGTACAGAAATACTCAGAGGCATCTGCAGCTGTCAGGGAGTTCAGCTGGAGGGAGAACTCATTCCCAGAGGCATCTGAAGAAATGGTTGCACATCTCTTGAAAGAAGATGCATACCAAGTCATCCCGTTATAAGGGTGCATCTTTGCAATCCATTCCAGGCCTTTCCGAGGTACCAGGTGGATTCAGTGCCAGACATAAGTATTAGTATACAGTGGTACCTCCGGTAACATATGCTTCAGGTTACATACGCTTCAGGTTAAAGACTCTGCTAACCCAGAAATATTACCTCGGGTTAAGAACTTTGCTTCAGCATGAGAACAGAAATCGTGCAGCAGCAGAGCAGCCGCAGCAGGAGGCCCCATTAGCTAAAGTGGTGCTTCAGGTTAAGAACAGTTTCAGGTTAAGAACAGACCTCCAAAATGAATTAAGTTCTTAACCTGAGGTACCACTGTATGTGGAGAAACCTGTCACTTTACAGAGCAGGCTGAGGTTCTCCCCTTGTTTCACCATCTCTGGCCCAGATGATACAAGCTGAACATCTGAGAAGACCCCTTGGAAACAGAGAAGATTTCAGTGAATGTTTGAAAATCATCAAATGACCACATGAAACAACTCATCACAAAAATTTACTTATAGTTTGGAAAGGCCACTAAAGAAAGAAAGAGCAGAAAGAATTTCATAATGTTAGTGAACAAATGTCCTAGACTCTAGAGAGATAGGGAAGAGGAGCCTTTCTAATAGGAAACATGTTAAAATTTTATATTGAGGAGATTTCATTCCAAACCACCCACAGCCTCCTGAAGGTATTTGCATGAGACCCTCTCCAGTAATGTATAGCAGGCGAAGAGGCTGTTGCAAGCAGTTTTAGGGCTCAGGTTTGTTGCTGGCACTGTCAGTCCCCAACCACCAGAATCCTCACTCACATAGAGAAAAGTTGTAATGGGTGGAATGTAACACCGACTCCAATTTGGCCATGTACCTCAGCCAGATTGGGTTCGCACCATCCATTCAAAGTGCATTGAAAGCAGATGGCATCCCTGACGGAATGCTGATTTATAAGGATGCTGGGAACTGTAATACTATGAGGGGTACATCACTGTTTGAAGGATTCTTTGGGAAAAGCTATGTGCTTTAAATGGCAGCTCTGGTGACCTTGGGCTAGTCCCTCTCTCTCAGCTACCCTACATCGCAGGTTTGTTGTGAGGATGAGAGCATCCCACTTTTCTCCCAATCTGAGAATTTTTTCCAGTCCAGTAATGCTGCAATATCTTGGTGGGAGGAGCTGCTACTGAAGAACTTCTGCTTTCTTATGAATTCTTGAATAATATATATATATATTGAGGGAATCTTGAAAGAAGCATATATGAGCTCCAGGAAGGGTCATATGTGCTGGGCCAAATAATTGCATATGTTCTTAATATCTCTTGTATAATTATTTGCCTTGTTGTATTGGCTTACCTCATTGGTGATTCTCTTCTGCCCCCTTTGATAATTCAAGTCCCACCTATTATCACCAGCTTTTATTGCAGGTGAGGCAGGCAAGGAGACTGTTAATTTGGGTGCTGGGTGGTGAGGCATGTGCAGCGCCACATTTCAAAAGAAAGAACTTTGCAAGGGGAAAGGATCTGGGATGGGAAGAGGTCTGTCGTTCTAATTTATGTGGGTAAGGCTGGAAGTAACAATGTAGCAGTAAATGGCATTGTGCTGTGATGGGGAAAGAACTGTAAATTACTGTTGTTTTACTTATCTAGGCCAGAACATCAGTTTCTCTGAGTCTCAAGAAATGAGCATAGTATTTCCAGATTACTTTATTCTCAGTCCAGGAGGACCACAACATGGTGGTGGGAGAAACTGCTTCGGAATATCTTCCACTGTAATCAGAAATTTTGAAAGAACAGAAATCTTGAGGGAAGTAGCCCTATATGAGAAAAAAAGGACTGTGCAGGATGAATTTGTTTTGAACGGGCCCACTGCGTTGGAACATGATGATCATGGGACAACTCCCAATAGGTTAGAGATAGGACAAAGAAGAACTGATATTCCCTATAATAACAGCTATTGTTGTTCCCTTGTTTTGTCTTCTCTGCTCTGTGAGTTTCTGGTTTGTGGTGCTTTAGTGCCCCCTCTGGAAACATCACTAAAGGAATGTAGTGAAGGGTTTTTGTCTACGATCTAAATGGAAGTCAATCATTGTGTCTCTTGCACAGTAATACACAGCTGTGTCCTCAGGTTTAAGATTGTTCATTTGCAAATACAGCTGGCTGTTTGAATCATCCCTGGAAATGGTGAATCTTCCTTTGATGGAATCCAAGTAGTTAATGGGAGATGAAGCTGTACCTATTCTGGCGACCCATTCCAGGCCCTTTCCAGGAGCTTGTCTCACCCATGACATGTAATAGCTGCTGAAGGTGAACCCGGAGGCTTGGCAGGAGAGGCGGAGAGACTCTCCCAGTCTTTTAATGTCTCCTCCTGATTCTGTGAGCTGGATTTCTGACTGGACACCTGAAAAGATAGATTTATGGTTAGACTTCAGGCTCATTTACAACTACAATGCAACAGAGGTCTTTATCTGAAAGAAGGATTACCTTCAAATATTACAAAAAGGAAAACACATTGAAGCAAAGCTGTCATTTCCCCTTATTTTTAATTGGAAAGTGAGTAAGTAAAAAATAGCAACCAAGCAGTGTCACACTGAGGTTGTGTACATGGGTTTGAGTTAGGGCAGGGATAATATATGGATGCTGTTTAAGTATTTGCATATCTGTGGGGATAAAAGAGCACTATGGCCCTTTGACTACCCAATCTCATTAGGCATACATGTGACTATGGACAGTCAAAAAATTTTGGCAACACCCATGGTGTAAGGGACACAGATGGTGCTGTGGGTTAAACCACAGAGCCTAGGACTTGCCGGTCAGAAGGTCGGTGGTTTGAATCCCTGTGACGGGGTGAGCTCCCGTTGTTCGGTCCCAGCTCCTGACAACCTCGCAGTTCAAAAGCACGTCAAAGTGCAAATAGATAAATAGATACCACTCCGGCGGGAAGGTAAACGGCCTTTCTGTGTGCTGTTCTGGTTCACCAGAATTAGTCATGCTGGCCACATGACCCGGAAGTTGTACGCCGGCTCCCTTGGCCAATAAAGCAAGATGAGCGCCGCAACCCCAGAGTCGGCCACGACTGGACCTAATGGTCAGGGGTCCCTTAACCTTTTTTATGGTGAGGAATAGGGCAGTAGCCTCAAGATATTGAAGTTAAAACTGGACTAAAGCAAGTTAGGGATTAAATTGGTAGCAGAATATCCACTCATGGTGCTTTTAACCTTCCACTGAAAGATGCACTGTGCTTTAGGCTGGTTGTGTTAATTCCTTTCTATGACAAGCAATCCATAGATCAGAGACAGAAAGAAAGAGAAATGAATTGAGGCAGCTCAATAAAATAAATCAAAGCACCTCTAACAATTTCACACACTACATGTGTAATGGATTTAGGGGTTGCTTGTGCGTAAGTTGCCGCCACTGCTGGCGAGGTTATCTGGTTAAACCCTTTCTGACTGAACAGCCTCCAGCATCGTGACTGTCTCAGTCGCTGGCAGAATCCGTCAGTGGGCGTTTCTTGAACATTTTCCAGCATAAAAGTTGTTTGACGCCAAGTCTCCTCCTACTCTCCTTGCGCGGGAGTCTTCTGCGCAGGGAGGGTGTGGGCAGCGGAGTACCCGTACTCTCTCCACTGGTCTCCGGCGAGAAGTCTTGGAGCCTCCTCTCCGATTCCCCCATCTGCCCCCCTTCTCCACTGGTGTTACGCTGATTTCCTTCCCCAGCGCGCCGTCGAGAAGCCCACCTCGACCTGCAATAAGCTCATGAGCTTCCTCCAGAACCGGGAAGTAAATTGTTTCCAGCGATCTGAGATGACCCTCGAGGGAGCCCCATGCAGCCTGAAGATGTGATCCACAAACAACCTGGCTGTCTCCTCTGCCATCACCGCATGTGAGCAAGCTATGAAATGGCACATCTTCGTCAGGAGATCGACTACTACCATGACTGCTGTCTTCCCCCTTGACTTGGGCAAATCTGTCATAAAATCAATGGACACCAACTCCCAGGGTCTTCCCGGCATGGGTAAGGGTTCCAGTAACCCTGCAGGTGCAGCCCTCTCCCCCTTTGCCCTTTGGCAGCGGTCGCACCCCCTTACATATTCCCGTACATCTTCCTTGCGATGGGGGTGGGTCTGACCTGAGCATCCTGAGCTCGTCTTTCATCCAGCCGCGCCGTCAGGAGAGCTACATGCTGTTCCAAGTCTTGGTTTCTCTCTACCAGACCTTGCACTGCAGCTGCTTGCTCCGTCTCTCCGGCTCCTCTGGTCTGGCTCATGGTGCTGCCTCTCTGGAGCTGTGCACAAGCAACGTCGGCGACTGACGAATTGCTGTAATGGATTTAGGGGTTGCTTGTGCGTAAGTTGCCGCCACTGCTGGCGAGGTTATCTGGTTAAACCCTTTCTGACTGAACAGCCTCCAGCATCGTGACTGTCTCAGTCGCTGGCAAAATCCGTCAGTGGGCATTTCTTGAACCTTTTCCAGCATAAAAGTTGTTTGACACCAAGTCTCCTCCTACTCTCCCTGCGCGAAAGTCTTCTCCCCGATTCCCCCATCTGCCCCCCTTCTCCACTGGTGTTACGCTGATTTCATTCCCCAGCAGATGGGCTGCCTCTCTCCCTACTGGGACCCTCTCCGGCATCCCTTTGGAGCCTTCCCTCCGCTTCTAGCTCCGATGGCAGTTCCCTGACAACATGTAATAAATGTAGAGAGAGAGAGAGAATTGGGGTAGGGGAGTCAAGAGCATCCCCAACTTTTAATAAAGAACTGTTGAAGTCTCCAGAGGAGTGAAATTCTCAAAAGACATGTTAGCTGTTCCAAATAGCTGTACCAAACTGTTCCAACCATACTTAGCTGCCCATTTGTGTGCCCCCCCCCGCCGCCCTTATACCTTTCAATGGTTCCAGCTTCTTGGAACTTGAAAGAGGAAAGTTTCATGAAGAGGCAAGTTGGTGCTAGCATTTTGGAGGTGTTGATGGTTCTTCACGTGTTGACTGGCCTTGCTATTCAAGCCCACAGTCTTCATCCCTAGTCCCCTGCCCTTGGGACTGTGCCTTTGTGGAAGCTCCACTCACTAAAACCAGCTTTTATTGCAGGTGAGGCTGGCAGGGAGGCTGCTGATTTGGGTGCTCAGTTGTGTGGCACCACACTTGATAAGGAAGAACCTTGGCTGCATGGGGAAAGTAGCTGGGATGTGAGGAGGTTTACCTGCCTAAGCTATGTGGGTCAAGCTGGAAGGAACAATGTAGCAGTCCAGGGCATTGTGCTGTGATGGGGAAAGAATTGCAAATTACTATTGTTTTGCTTATCTAGGTCAGAACATCAGTTTCTCTGAGTCTCAAGAAATGAGCATAGTATTTCCTGATTACTTTATTCCTGGTCCAGGAGGACCACAACATGCTGGTGGCAGAAGCTGCTCCTGAATATCTTCCACTGTAATCAGAATTCGTGAAAAAACAGAAATCTTGAGGGAATAATGAAGCCCTGTGAGAGAAAGAAAGGACTGGGCAGGGTGAGTTTGCTTTGAATGGGGCTATTGAGTTGGAACAAGATGATCATGGGACAACTCCCAACAGGCTAGAGATGGGTCAAAGAAGAACAGATGTTCCCTGTAGTAGCAGCTATTGTTGTTCCCTTGTTTCATCTGTTCTGCTCTGAGAGTCTCTAGTTTCTGGTGCTTTAGTGCCCCCTCTGGAAACTTCACAAAAGGAATGCAACGAAGGGTTTTTGTCTAAGGTCTAATGGGAAGTTTTTCACTGTGTCTCTTGCACAGTAATACAAAGCTGTGTCCTCAGGTTTAAGGCTGTTCATTTGCAGATAGAGCAGGCTGTTTGAATTGTCCCTGGAGATGGTGAATCTTCCTTTGACGGAATCCAAGTAGTAAATGTAAGATGAACCAGTAGATATATAAGCCACCCATTCCAGTCCCTTTCCAGCAGCCTGCCGCACCCAGTTCATTCTGCTGAAGGTGATCCCGGAGACTCGACAGGTAAGGCGGAGGGACTCTCCAGGCTTTTTTGCATCCCCTCCAGACTCTACCAGATGGACCTCCGATTGGATGCCTAGAAAGAAAGAGATATTAATGAGCTCTTCTGCATATTATTAGCAGTCAGGTTGCCCAATTCTTGTTTATTTGAAAGGATGGATTTACCTCTAAAAATAGCTGAAAAGAAAACAAGATGAAGCAAAGCTATCATTTTTGCCATCTAATGCCAGGAGAGGGTTGAGCAAATTGTGGTCCCGGGTATTCAGGGTCCTGTGGCTGAGGAAGGGAGGGTGTCTGATGGATTTAAAGATGAAGCAATCTCAAATAATTTGCATATGTAGTAAGGTAAAAGCACCACTACAGCTGTTGGGCAAACTATGGCTCTAAAGGCAAGCCTCAGCTATACCACAAGCTATTATTTTCCAATGTACAGTTTAGTAATTGTTCCCACAGTATGTTTGTATATCGCTGTCAGGAAAAAAAGAGCAAAATGGGGCTGGGCAAAGTAGATAGCCATCTTCCTTTCTTTTTCTGTCTTTCTAAAAGATGGGAAGATAAATTCGCCTGTAATGTGTGAAATGGCAAATATCAATGCCATTTTTACACAAACCAGTCTCTCTGTTAACTTATGTCCATGCAGAAAAATCCTATTCTGTGCAGAGATTCAGGAGAAATTTGTGTTGTCCACTTTTCAGAATAATTCAACCAAGCAGAATCTCTGGGACTTGCTTGTGGATCAGAAGGCAACTCCCTATGGCTTGTCCACACTTCCACTTGTCCTGTTCCTTGAATTCATGGGTCAGAATGGTTTGCCTTGCTTTCTAGGCATGAGTCTGAGCAGTTTTGCCTTTGTCCCACCACTTTCCCTGGAAAAACTGTTCTTAACATTAAATGCATCAATATTGTCATAAGTTGGGGGAGACTTCCCTGAAATACCTGGATGCAGTAAAGTGTTAGGAATTTCAGTAAAGTGTTAAATTCTGGGTCTAGAGAGGCAAGCCTGGGCCGTGTGCATGGAGGTCCTAGGCTGCCTGAAAAGGGTCAGAGAGGGTCAGACATGATATTTGGGGTCTCTTGGCAAAATTACAGCAAGCACAAAAATCAAGGACAATGGAATTGAAATTGGTTGTTTTACATTATCATGGAAATGAGTGCTAAGATTCCACAGGATTACACTTGACTTACAGAAGTAGCTGTTGTGTCATGAGAAAAATCTCCTCAGAGACAGAAATCATGAGGTCAGGAAACACTGGGAGAATGGAATGAAACACTGTCTGAATGCAGCCTTAGAGAAGAACAGCGATGTATTGTGTATGTCACATGGGAGTTGCCTCACAGGGTTCCTGCTTGCTTTCTTTCCTGTCTTGTTGACAATGCATCCTCCTCTAGCACCTGCATTCCAGCTGCAAAGGCTGCAAAGCAGGGCTTTTTTGTACAAGCAGGAAGGCAGAAGTTGTCACTGTGTCTCTTGCACAGTAATACAAGGCAGAGTCTTCAGGCTTCAAGCTGCTCATTTGCAAATAGGCTGAAGTTTGAGAATTGTCTCTGGAGATGGTGAAGCGTCCCTGAACTTTGGAATTATACCATTGGCTACTTCCTGAACCACTTACTCCAGCCACCCAGTCCAGTCCTTTCCCAGGAGCCTGACGAATCCAGTGGATTTCATAACTAGTAAAGGTGAATCCTGAAGCCTTGCAGGAGAGGCGGAGGGAGCCACCAGGAGCTACAGCTCCTCCTCCAGTCTCCACCAACTGAACCTCTGAGTGACAGCCTAAAAAAATGGAGGAAAGAACATCAGCGGAAACCTGTGTAGAAAAGTGTGCAAGTCTCCAGAGTTTCCAGTGAGAGAAATATTACCTGGGAGAGCTGTCAAGAAGAGAAGGAGGTTTAACCAAAGAATCATGTCTCTTCTGTGTTGCAGATTGTTTGGATCACCTTCTTGACTGGCTTAGTCTTAGCTGGCTGGAGGTGGCAAGACTGAATTGGAAAGGGCAGCTTTTAAGGCCGTGATGTAGTTCAACTGATTTGCATGTGCTTCGTATAATAACCTCCTTTCCTCTGAACCCTTAATTCACAATTCTTTCCCAGCTAAAGGGCCACAGAGAAGAAGAGGAGCAATTTGCATGCAGAGGTGCTGTGTCCCCATAGCCCTGCAGGTCACAGCTGACCAAAAGACCACTCAAGACTACAGTGTATGGTTCAATTTAGGTGACAACCTTATTGAATGCAACTGTAAGAGGCCTGACTGCTAGTTGATCAACACAGGGGTTGGTGGTTCTTGAGTTGGTGGTTCTTCACAAGAACCACCAACTCAAGAAGTGCTATGGTCCTACCCCCCCCCATATATTCAGAAATTGCATCATAATGGTAAAAAGACATATAGAAACACATTATTTTAAGAGGGAACACTTTGTATATTGGTGAAATTGCTTACATAAATGTATATAGGGGAGAAAAATTGCACCAAGATGCTGACAAGCTTTCATGAGGACGAAAAAATAATAATTGCAAAACCAGTAGAGAAGCAGCACTAGCATTAGTGACTCCTTCTAATGAGATCTCATGAGATCTCACCGGAACTGGCCACTAAACATAGGTAAGGGTATCCTCAGCCGGGGGCAAGCAGAAGATGGCACAGCAGTAACCCTTCCCATTTCTCCAAAGGGGTTCACTGCCCCTGTTGCAGCCGACCTAGCTGTGTTTATTATAGCTTGGTGAGAGAGGCTCCTCATATGTATAGCTGGATCTGTGGGTGATTTGCGCTCTTTCCCTCCTTCCTCCACCAACTCTTTCGGTACACTGAAAATAAAGACCATCATTATCCAATGTTGAAAAACATTATCTTACAGCAGGGTAAACCCAGAAAGATTTGAGCCAAAGAGGGCCTTGCCGCTCTTTAGATTCTCTTTCTCTCACTGTGGCTCTCTTGTACAGTAACACACAGCTGTGTCCTCAGGTTTCAAGTTGTTCATTTTTGAAGACAGCTGACTGTTTGAACCATCCCTGGAATGTTGAATCTTCCTTTAATAGAATCCAAGAAGTAAACAGGAGGTGGAGATGTGCTTATTTTGGCCACCCATTTGTGGCCTTGTCCAGGAGCCTTTAACACCCAGTCCAGTGAAGGGGAGACTCCATGGGGCTTTTAATGTCCCCTCCAGATTCCTTGTGCTGGATTTCTGAATTGGCAGCTGGGAGGGAACCTGGATGGTGTCAGTAGGGGGCTTCCTAGATGTGGGTTGGGAAATGTTGGACGGTATGGTATTGATGAAGGTGGAGTGAACTTTACTGTGTTCTGGCTTAGTGGGTAGGAACAGGATGATCCAATGGCAACTCACAACAAGGCTGGATCTGGACCAAAGAATAAAAGTTTTTCAGTATTATTAATAGCGATTGTGAAACTATTAACAGTAATAATATTAATAGTATTAATAATATTGCATGACCAGGCGGCAACTTCCCCAGCCCCCAGGGAGCACCAAAAGGAAGAATGACTTGTGGCAACGTGTTATGGAATTAAAATTTGGACACAACTTTATTAAACTTTCAAGTGTAGGAAGACCTTGGCTTAGGCATTGGGCGTGTGTCCCTCCCAGCCCCCCAGCCGGGAGAACTGGGGCTCCTCAGGGTTACTGGGATATGGGGGTGCTCTGCAAGATGCATGTGTATGCAGGCAGCCCACCCCATATCCCTGCACGTAGGGTAGTTCACTGACAACCTTTCAGTGTATGGCGAGTGACACCCATATGACAACCCCTTTAAAAGGGGACCTTGGAATCGCCACTGTTTGTGTGTGGGGGGGGGGTGAGTCACCACTCCCCCCCCCCAAGAAAAGACTAAAGGATTCCACCCAAGGCCTTAAACCGCCAAAGTTGTGACAAATTGCTATGGGGAAGACCAAACCTGCCAATGCAGGAAAATTTCTTCCCGGTTCTTCAACAGCAACCAGTCAAAACACCGTAGCAGCGCCCACTAAACAGGAAGAAAAAGGTTAACCTGCAAACAAGAAACATTAAACAAAGGGAGGGTTGGGTGGGTGAAGCTCCTGAGTGGACTACCTGGCCACTGCTGGCTCCATCCCCTATTTATATGACTGGCCCCACCTCCCAGCAGTTTAAACTGACTAACTGAGGCTGGCTGTGAACCTCCAAAGAATAACACTGTAACACAACCTGTAAGTTCCCTGGGGTCTGAAGTGCCGCGTGTGATCCCGCAAAGGGCACCCACAGTGTAAAGTGTGAGTGCTCATTAATCGTATTATTAATAGCTATTGTTAAACATCTTCCCTTCTGATGTCAGCCCTGTTCTGTAAATTTCTGTTTTGTGGTTCTGTGGTGCCCCCTCTGGGAACTCTTTACTAAAGTGAATGCAACAAACGGTTGTTGTCTGAGGTCTAGTGAGATTTGTGTGTCTTGTACAGTAATACAATGTCTTCTGCTTTCAGGCTTCTCATGTGCAGATAGATGGAAACTGGAGCTACCATCCGAAACCAAGAATCGCATTTCTATTGCAGAAGAATAACAATTGACCTCAGAGCTATTATACCAAAAGGGCCATTCCAATCCTTTGCCAAGTTTCTGCCTGATCCAGGAATTACAGTACCTGTTAATATCAAGCCCAACAGTGGCACAGATCAGCTCCTGGCTTTGCAGAAGTTTGACAACACAAGAGGGGACAATATTAATACAGACTCATAATAGGGAGATACACTGGGCCACCAAAGTATGGCAAATAGCACTTGTGGAAAATTAAATTTAAAAACCTGGCACAAAGACTGTTTTGTAACTGTTCACTTTTACTGTATTATGTAAAAATGAAAGCAGATGACTTCCCTCACATTATAAAAGGTTTTTGTTTAGCATAAATCATTTATCACCTTCTATACGAATGGTAATCTCAGATAAGAAATTATGTTATTTGGATATTATGTTCATGTATTGCCTAAACACCAACCTCTGGGTTAGGGTAGGATATTTCATGTATATGATGTTGCTATATCTTACATGCACAGAACAGAAAACAGAGATTCTGTTTCTGAAAGACTTTCCCCTTTTGTATATAGCCCCAAGATACCTTGTCTCACTTTGTGCTGATTTTCATTTCACATGGTTTTGACATACTTATTTATTGATTGCCATTTATTAGAACCACATTTCTGCATTCAAAATCAGTTTCCTCTTCTTGTACACAGCACCAATTGCTGTGTCTCACTATGTATTGCCTGGCACAAAAATACACCGCAGAGTCGGCAGCTGCCAGAGTTTTCAGCTGGAAAGAAAACTCATTCTTGGAAGAATCTGAAGAAATTGTTGTTCGGCTCTTCAGAGAAGGGGCATACCACTTAGTCCCATCATTGGGGCGTACTGCTACAATCCATTCTAGACTTTTTCCAGCATCTTGACGGAACCAGTGCCAGACAGACTGCTGAGTGGAGATGGAGAAACCTGTGACTTTACAGAGCAGGCTGAGGTCCTCTCCTGGTCTCACCATTCCTGGCCCAGATGATACAAGTTGAACATCTGAGAAGACCCCTTGGAAACAGAGAAGATTTCAATGAGTGATTGAATGTCACATAATCACCACTTGAAATACACTAATATTTTGAACTTCCACAGAATTTGCACTTACTTTTTGTAATGGTAACTAAAGACAACAAGAACCAGAAGAACTTCATGGTATTAAGAAAATAATGTGCTAGAAAGGTAGGAAAGAGGCGGCTTTGGGTTCGGGAGAAAAGGAACAATTTATATTGAAGGAAATAACACCTGCCCCAAGAATCCCACAGTCTCCCTGAGGAATTTGCATGAGCCCTTCCTCCAACAAGGAGCCATATATAAAAGAGCTGGCAAAATCTGGGTTAGTGTCAGGGTAAGTTCCTGCCTGCCTTCCATTGGTATCATCTCCTAGTAGCCAAGCTCCCTTCAGGCCCCCCATACAATATCTGCCCCCCAAGTGGATGAATACCCTGCAAGTCAAGTGCCTCTCTGTCAAGTGCACTGCCTTGCTACCAGGATTAAGGGTGCCAGCATGCGAGATGTGTGCAAGTGATGTCAGCATGCTGCACACTGTGCTGATGTCATGCACACGCATTGTATGCCATGCCCATGCTGTGCTCAAACATGGTGCATCATACTTACCTCAGTCGTGCATGCCAAATGCTGTGCGCCATGCCGATGTGTTGTGTGAACTCTGCATGGGCTGCAGGATTAAAGTGAGCATGTTGTACAGCATGCATGCATGGCTGATACATATTGGGGGGGGGACTGGTCCCCTACTTGAAAACTTGGGGGCCCTCAGCCCCTCGCTCTCCCCCTCTTAGATGGCACGTATGCTTTCCATGCTCTCTGCTTGGAGCAGCCAAGAGTTTCCTGCTGTTTGGCTCCAAAAGGGTTAATAGCAGCAGCAGATTGGAAGGGGAGATGGAAGAGAGAGGAACTTCTGTTTTCTCTGCTTCCTAGCTCTGCCTCTCTTGCTGGCAAACCTGTGCCACCCAAGAGCCACATTCCATTATTCTGCCACATTTGGTGTGTCACATGCCCCTGGTATATTGAGACACAGGCAGAAGTAGCAGAGCATCAAATGTAAAATTTCCCTTTATTTGGTAGACCAGTTTCTACCCTCACCTCTCTCTCTCTGTGGTCTTTCCCCAATTGTATTTCACAATACAATTTTCATAATTTCTGTTATAGAAGGAACCACTCTGTTATGTTCATAGAATCCATATAAGGTGAAGGGCTGTGAGGGAAGGACAGTTTTTGCCTGCCTTCAGATTCACTTCCTCTCACTGTCTCTCTTCTTGCACAGTAATACACAATGTGTCGTCTGCTGTCAGGCTGTTCATTTGCAGATAGAGAAGGCTGTTTGAATTGTCCCTGGAGGTGGTGAAGTGCCCCTTCACTTT